GATAGCGATCCTGTATAGGGTTTCCCATGAGCAACTGGTGTGTTTGAACTTCAGACCTTGCAGTTAGCAGTCCAGTGCTGATCCTATAGTACCACACTTGGTCTCCATATATTTATTATTGTTGTTGTTACTTGCCTTTGAGTCAGTTTCTACTCAGAGAGACCCTGTATAGATTTTCTGAGGAGTGGCTGGTGGGTTTGAACCATCAAGCTTGTGTTTAGCAGCTCTACCAGACTGCTCATTGGAAGTCCTATACAAGGTCCTATGAGTCAGAACCGACTTGACAGCACTTAACAATAACACAGATAGATAGACACACACACATATAGTCATCTTCATCTTGGAGTGCTATTGAATCGGATCTGACTCATCTTTCTCCAGTGGAGTCACTGGTGGTTTGAGCCACTGACCTTTGGGTTAGCAGCCTATTGCTTTAACCACTGTGTAGCCAGGTCTTGCTAACAACATTATTCAGCTATAAAAAGCAATAAAGTATTAATACATCCTACAACGAGAATGATCCTTGATCTTGTGGTCCACTGCTCATCCTAGAGCACCACACCAGGACTCCTATAGAGAAGTGTGTGTGCTTATATATTAGGGTAAGTCAGAAAGTATTACTACTAGGGTTCCAGTTCATACATATACATGTTTCCAAAAGAATCATGTTTAATCATGTCTCTGGGATCAGTGGATGGCTGCAGACAAGTTCTCTCAGTAATACAAGCATCTTGATCTCTTTAGGGTGCATTTTTAAAAAAGGTCCAATCAAGAGGCTTCTGAGGGGATCTTCTGGGACCATTAAATTCAAGGCAGAGACATCAGCTCAGAAGGTTATGGTGATTGATTTTGGGGGATTCCAAAGGGGTCATCTTGATAGCTTTTCTCCAAGGACACATACTGTTTTTAGAAAGTTCCTTTGTATATTTAGCCAAAATATGGCTCCTGAAACAACCTCCACTCACTTACTGCCATGGTCCTGCTCTCTGAAACTTTTCAGAACAAGTTGAGGCAACCATCATAGTAGACTTTCACAAACACTCAGAGATAATTCCTATTTCTCACTGGCTTAGTAGCAAGTCTATTTTGCTGCATGTTGATTGTGCTGTGACCTGAGCACTTCCAGTCTCCAAACCAAGTTCACTGAGTTTATTCACTCCTTCATTCATCATTTTATCCAATCAATTCAATCACCTACTGTACATTGTGTCCTCAGATAAGGATGTTCCTTTAAAAACCAAACAAACCTATAGAGACACTACTCACCTGCTTGGCCAAGCAAATTGGCTAAATCCAGATGAGGTAAACACTGCACTAACCACCAAACAACAGCAATAGTAACAACCCAGGGGAGTCAGAGAGGAAAAAGCCGCTGGAGTAGCCCAAAGGAGGCTGGAAAAGGAAGTTGAGGAGTGAGCTGAGAATCTTCTCTAGAAGAAGGGAGGTTTTGTCTTGTGAGGAACACCTCTGAATGGTTCAGGGAAGGAAACCAATTATCTTGACAATTTTAAGGAGAAGCAAATCAGTACTAGTTAAGGTGGTGGATAAAAATATCAACTATAAATGGAATTCTCAAGGCTGTGAGTAAGAGTTAGTGGCTTATTAGCTGCCAAACCCAAACCAAAGCCACTGCCATGAAGTCGATGCTTACTCTTAGTGAGCCTCCAGGATACAGCAGAACTGCTCCGTGGAGATTTCAAGTCTGTCAATCTGTATGGAAGCAGACTGTTGTCATATCTTCCTCCTGTGGAGTCGCTGGTGGTTTGAACCACTGACCTTTTGGTTAGTGGCCTATTGCTTTAACCACTGTGCCACCAGGGCTCCTTAACCTTAACCTTTTGGTTAGCAGTCGAGTGCTTATCCTACAGCATCACACCAGGGTAGTGTTGTTGTCACATGCCGTTGAGTCAGTTCCAACTCACAGCGACCCCTTACATTGTTTCTGAGGAGCAGCCGGTGGGTTTGAACTGCCACCTTGCGGTGTTAGGGCAGGCAATTCAGTGTTCTCTTTTCAAGTGCTTTTCATTGCAGCACAATATCTATCAAATTTAAGAGTTCCATGTGGCACTGTAGCATCCGCGAACCACAGGTCGGCAGTTCAAGCCCACCAGCTGCTCCTCAGAAACCCTGTACAAGGTCACTATGAGTCTGAACCGACTCAATGGCACACCGCTCCTGGTGTGGCACTGTAGGATAAGCACTGAACTGTGAACTACAAGGTGGGCGGTTCAAGCCCACCAGCTGCTCCTCAGGAACCCTGTACACTTAACAACAACAACAACAACAATTCTTATGCAAAGGAGCCGTTCGGTGCTGTGGGTTAAGTGTTGGGCTACTCACTGGAAGGTCAAACTCACTAGCCACTCTGCGGGAGAAAGACAGTTCCTATAAAGACAGGCTTGGAGACCCTGCGGAGCAGTTCTCCTCTGTCCCATAGGACATAATGAGTTGGGACCAACTCAATGGCACTGGGTTTGGCTTGATCTTGTTACCCTTATAAAAAAAAAAAAAAAAAAAAAATTACTTGAACTAAGAAATAAGACAAGGGACCAATGAAGAGGGCAGGTAGAAAGAGATAAAACATCTACAATATTGCTCTACCTGAGACAGCAGCAACTGGGAACAATAATGACAGACATGGACGAGGACACTTTAACAACTAAGAAAACAACTCTATTACGCACACAAGAATTAGAGTTAGGAAATGGTGGGACTACTGTACCTGCTTAGCGAGGTAGAGTTTGGTTATAGAAGATTTGTTGGTCCTGGATTTATACACATGGAGAAGTTGCCAAGGGGCCAGTAGCCAAAGGAAGCCCAAGGGGATCCACACCAGGACAGTTTGCTCAAAACAAAGTGGCAAGTCAGCCTCCGGGCTATCCAGGAACGAGGAATTCTGGGGGATCAAAAATGAAGGAATATTGGAAACATGCATTTTTTTTTTTAAACAGAAGACCATTCCCCAGTACACCCCAGCTGCTTCCAGACTATTGCAACTCAAACCCTATCTATGTCAAGCTCAGCCCTTTAGCTCTCTGCATCACTCTATCAACACCCTTGTGACATTCAGTGACTTTTGTAGCCTAGAATTCCAAGTGGACTCGAAATTTTTCTGCTATTATAATTCTTAATAAACGTCACCACTGCATTTGCCAGACTGTAGGGAGAAGATGGACCATTCCTCAGTCCAAAGGGGAGAATTGTTCTATAGCACTGGTTTAGTTCACTGGTTATTGTTCAAACATGCAGATACCAAGCTGACTGAATGCTTGGCAGATGATGACATTTGGTCTCCTACAGCCATGGGCTGAATACTCAGTAAGCACAGGTTTACTTGTACTTACTCACTAATCTGTAGTAATTTTCTGGGTACTCCATCCCAGTCAGGGATTGTAAATTTGAAAACAGGCTTTGATTCTGAAGGCTGTAGTGTTCGGAGAGAGACAGATGCCAGCCAGACCTAGAAGTCGAATTTTTGATGTAGTGAAAAAATGTGAAACTGTTCACTACAGATTAGTAAGTAAGCACAAATAAGCCTTTGTTTACCTTGCTTATTGGGTAATAGGCCCCTTCCTACAGTCCAGAGAGGGTTATATCTGAACCCAAATAGGCCTGGCCAGGTTTGGCACAGTATCCTCTGGGCTTCATTGGTCAAGTAAGTCTGGCCTTGTTTAGGAACTTGAATTTGTTCTACCTTTTTCTCCCATTCTACCTGAGACTAGGGAGTCCTGATAGCTCTGTGGGTTAGGTGTTGGTCCACTAATCACAGGGTCGGAGGTTTGAGCCTACCAGCCACTCCACAGGAGAAAGATGAGGCTATCCCATAAAGATTTATAATCTTGGAAATTCTAAATTCTACTCTGCTGCACAAGACCTCTCTAAGGTGTTGAAGAACAAAGCTATCAGTTTGAGGACTAAGGTGTGCCTAATCCTAGCCATGGTATTCTTAATAACTTCATATGCTTGTGAAAGTTGGACAGTGAATAAGGAGACCGTAGAATTGATGCAGTTGAGCTCTGGTGTTGGAGGAAAATATTTAAAGTCCCATGGAGTGTCAAAAGAACAAAGCAATCTGTGTTGGGAAAAGTACAGCCAGAATGCTCCTGGAAGCCAGGATGGCCAGACTTTGTCTCTTAACTTCAGGCATATTGTCAGGAGGGACCAGTTTCTAGAGAAGAACATCATGTTTGGTAAAGTGGAGGGTCGGAAAAAAAGAGGAAGAAGTCCAACTAGATGGATTGGCACAGTGGAGGCAGTGATGGGCTCAGGCTTAGCAACGATTGTGAGGTTGGTGCAGGAATGGACAGTGTTTCATTCTGCTGTGCATCGGCACTTGACAACAATAACAGCTCTGTCCAAGAGTCCCTGTGAGTCAGACTAGACTCAATGGCAGAGGGTTTTTATCTGGAACCTTCTATTGTATGTGAGAACCTTGGGTAGCGGTATCCAGGAAGCATTTAGCTCCTGGTTTCATGGTTCATGTGGGCTCATCCAGTGGACGAGTTTCTTCTTTGAGCCTTTGGTTTCCTTCTTTCTGTTTTGCTCCACATGAGTAGAGGCTAGCATTTGTATCTTAGAAGACCACCCACAAGCTTTTAAGACTCCAAACGCTACTCACCAAATTATGATGTACATTATCTTTATGAACTATGTTATTCTCAGTTTACTGAATTGTCCCATGAGATTATGGTCTCCTCAAATCATCTAACCCAGTAAATCAATTCTGTGAGGTATTTAGATATGTTTAGGAAGCCTTGTAACTGTGTCCCTTCCTGTAAATAATTTTTAATTGTTTGGTATAGCTGTTTGAACAGACATTGTGAAGACAAGTTTGAGCGCCATGACTAAAATGTTCTGTGGAATAATTCCCAGTGGACTTAATTCCAGTGATTAGGCCTGTTATGGTCTCCCTTCCTGTGGTAGTCCAGTCATCCAGTACAGTCCAGCCTATCAGGCCTCGGCGTCTAGGTCTTTTCTAAGATGGAAAGTGTTATTTCATTCCCATGTCTGATCCTATCATACAACAGAAACAACTTTAGGAAAATGTTTATTTCCTTTACACTGCAAAAATTGTCATTGGTCTTGCTGCCACGGAGTCAGTTCCAACTCATAGCAACCCCACACGGGGCTTCCAAGGCTGTAACTCTCTATGGGAGCAGAAAGCCTCATCTTTCTTCCACAGAACCGCTATGTAGTTTTAAATTGCTGACCATCTGATTGGCAGCCCAAGTTGCAAACACTACACTATCAGAGCTCCTCATTATTGGTTCTAAAGGGAATCAAAGAAGACTCTTTTCAAATAAATTCTCAAGTCTTTCCCTGCTACAAACCGGAAGTTCATAGAATCAGTCCTGACTTGCCTCAGCTGTGACTAGCGAGTCACAGGTCTTCTACTTTCTGAGTTGTTAGCAATCGCCACAACAACAATGTCATCATTTACTGAGTATTTAGCCTATATTTTATCAGCCTATGCTCGTTACATGTACTAACTCATTCAATCCTCACAGCAACGCCCAAAGTGGGCATTGTTATTATTCCCATTTTACAGATGAGGAAATTGAGTAGAGCTGTTAAATATTCTGATTGAAGTCACACTATAGGTATCTTTTTTCTAAAATGTTCCAGGCTATAATAATAACATTTTGTTGCTGTTGTTGTTGTTGGGAGATTGTTTTAGATCTTTACATTTATTTTCTCACTAAATCTTTACAACAATCCCCTAACACATTCTCAGAAAGATTTCAAAGGAGCCCTGATAGTGTAGTTGGTTATGAGTTGGACTGCTAACCACAAGGAGAGTAGTTAGAATCCATGGGAGAAAGTCACTCCATGGGAGAAAGATGAGGCTTTCTGCTCCCATAAAGATTTACAGCCTTGAAAATCCTACACAGGATCTCTATGAGTGGGAACAGACTCTCCGGCATGCCACCACCACCATGGGTCAGGCATACAGCAATATATTCAGAAGAACATAAACATGTTAGACATTTAGTAAGAGTCCACTGCCGTATACTCAAAAGTACTTCAATGAAAAATTCTCTTTGAGGAATTAAAAACAAAAAAGACCATCAACTTCATTCATGGTAATATTAATCAGAGCCAAAGTCTGCCTACTTGAGAGCTCACATTCTGAAGGTCAAGGTTCATATTGGTGGTGCGATGTGGAGTTGGTTCCAACTCATAGAGACCCTGTACAGGGTTTCTGAGGCTGTAAATCTTTACGGGAGCAGAAAGCCTCATCTTTCTCCCACTGGTAATTTTGAACTGCTGACCTTGAGATTAGCAGCCCAACTCTTAACCACTACAGTTCACGTTAGGTAGGTTTATTTTATTCAAAGACAATGGTGAGTTATTTGGCAAGTCCCTTTCAAATACCTTATTGCAGTATTGCTCTCACTACAGCAAAGTAAAACTGCTGCATTCTTAAACCTCCCCCTCTTCCACCAACCAGCTGGGCATCCCAAAAACGACTGGGAAATTATAGACATTTATTGAGTTTTCTTATCTATTTGCTTCTGGACTTCAGCTTTTTTTGACACTGATGTTTTTCAGATTTTAGCTTGCATCGGCAGCCCCTGGAGGGCTTGTTAAAATACAGACTGGTGGGGCCATTTCCAGAGTTTTCGATGGAGTAAGTATTGGGTTGTTGTTGTTGTTGTTAAGTGCCGTTGAGTCGGTTCCGACCCATAGCGACCCTGTACAGGGTTTCCAAGGCTGTAAATCTTTACAGGAGCAGAAAGCCTCATCTTTCTCCCGCGGAACAGCTGGTAGTTTCGAACTGCTGAGCTTGCGGTTCGCAGCCCGATTTGTAACTACTATGTATTGGGTGGTGTCTTAGAATTTGCATTTCCAGCAAGCTCCCTCATGGTGCTGATGCTTCCAGACCACGCACTGAACAGATTACTGCTGTACCATGCCAAGTACACCATTACACTCCACTTTCTTTCTACTACCATTTTAAAGTTTATCTTTTCTTCTGCCCTTGATGTCATCATTTCTTATTTCTCCTCAGTGGATCTTCAGTCTCTTTTTCTTCTCTAGTTTCTACTTTGCCCAAAACCATGCACAAGATTCCCTATCCAACAATTACCTTAATTTTACCTACTTTCCCTTCCTAAACCTAGTATTCAATTTGGAACCGCTGTGAGGACCCTTAATAACAACAACAACAGCCATTGTTAAATATCAGTATAGTTGTTTCCACTACCACCTTTCCTCTCTACCTGCCTTCCAGCCTATTTCTACCCAGAGCTATTGAAAGTCTTCTCTGCATGAGTGATTGTCAACGTTGCACCTTGTAAGCACATAGCCCACTAACCCACTACCGTCAAGTCAAGTTTCAAGTCTGAGACACGTAGGAGGCTTAATAAAGCATTGCTGGCACCCACCCCTGATTATTTAAATCAGAATGTTTGCTCTAGACTCCAAAACAATGGTCATCAAACTTTAAAATTCAGAAGAATCACCTAAGATACCCAAATATTTTAATCACATCAGGTGATGCTGATGCTCAGGAGTTTGCAAACCGCACTTTGTGAAACACTATTCTAAGAAGGTCATTACTTTCTCAAAATCACTAAATCCAAGGTCCTTTCTCATTCTTCCACTAAATAAATCATTTGGCACCTTCACGGTTCTTTCTGTCTTGACATTCTCTGCCTTCTATAGCTTCATGAGGCCACACTGTTCTGTCACCTAGTTATCTGATCTTTCCTTCTGTGGTATCTCTTTCTTGTCTTCTCTTCTAAAAATAGAACTGCCCAAGTCTAAGTGCTTGTTGTTAAATGCTGTTGAGTCGATTCTGACTCATAGTCACCCTGTATAGGCTTTCTGAGGAGAAGCTGATGAGCTTGAACTGCCGACATTGCAGTTCAAATGGCTTTGCAGTCTGGCGTATTAACTTACAATGCCACAATGCCCAAATTGGCATTCTTGGCCTCAATTTCTAGTCTGTATCATTAATTACCAGCTAGATAATTCCTCCAGAATATATCATTATCATTTCAACACCATCTTTCAACAGAATTTGATCATGGGCCTCCTTTTCTTCCTCCTGCCCACAAACAATACAATGCCCCCTCTCCACATGGATGATTTGAGAAGTCCTTTTCCAATTTCTCTTTGGAGAAGGTAATTTTGCAGCTATCTAGTGCTCAAAAAGAATCTGGGATAAAAAAATATATTTGTTAGAGACTGCATAGATTATCTTTCACAGATGGTATAGCCTTTGTAGATACTATGATTTATCCTTTCTTTAAAAATAAAAAGTCTGAGCTTTACACCCACTGCATATCTAACTTTTCTGGTTCTTGCTGGTGGTCACTCTAGACTGATTGACAGAATAAGTAGGAGAGTATGTAATTTCTCACCCAAAAAGTAGAGTTGCAGAACTCTTCCAGCATGATTTTTGGAGCACTTCTGGATCGAAGGCTCCTCTGTTCGTATGTGGTTCTCTCTTTTCTTCAGAGAAGGTAGGATTTGAGTAGCAAAGTACTATCTTCCGTTCAGATGTTCAGCTGTCACATCTAAAAGCAGATTTCCTGACCTTTCATCCCAACAATTTAACTGTTAACTATTAACTCTGCCCAATGCATGTTTACATTATTCCAGTGAAGAGGCATGTGACTGAGGAGCCCGAGAGACAGGTAGACGAACCAGTTCCCAAAGTGACCACACAGAAAGATGGCAGCAGAGCTGGTTAACAAGCCTTTGCTTCTCTGGAGGTGGAATAATAAAAATAAAGAAAGCATCTGTGGAGGGGCATCCATCCTTGAAAGTGTCATTTCACTCGGCCTTGAGTCTATAGCAGTGTGAAATAGCTCACTCCGCTGGCTTTTCAATTAAAAACGAAGAACCTAAAGCATAGTACAAAATAGTATAGAATTTGAAAGAGTTAGGTTAAAAAAAATAGGCATAACCAATGTAAACCCAGATATACACATGTGTGTATATGTGTATGGATTTATGCAACAGAATGTTAAACTTGGTTATCACTAGATAGTAGGATTATGGGTAATTTTTATTTTTATTTTTGCTTGTCTGTATTTTCTGGTATTTTTCATAATTATCAGGTATTATTTGCATGGATGATTTTTTAAGTAATATTTTATCATGTTTTTTGGTGAAGGTTTACACAGCAGTTTTGGTCCCCATTCAACAATTTCTACACCAGTTGTTCAGTGACGTTTGATACAGTCCCTACAATATGTGGACATTCTCATTATTTCTCTTTAGGTTGGTCTTTTTTCATTCATCTAGTTTCTCTGCCCCCTTACATTCTCATTTTTCTTTCAAAGTCAATGTTGACCACTAGGTTTTATACATTGTTGTTAAGTGCTGGTGAGTTGGCTCCAACTCAGACCGACCCTGTATAGGGTTTCAGAGAAGCAGCTGGTGGATTTGAACCTCCAAATTTGTGGTTAGCAGTCCAGTGCTTATCCTAAGACTCCTAGACTTATCCTTATCCTAAGACTCCAGGCTTATCCCTATCCTAAGACACCTAGACTCCAGGTTTTATATTGGTGATATTTTTTGAGCCAAGTTGTTATTTAGTTACAAGGTAACCTGAGGGCTTAGTTTTGGTTCAAAGTTTGAAAAGTATCTTAGAGCAATATTCTCAGATAGTCCTCTAGTCTCAACCATTCCAGTAGGTCTGTTTTTGTTGTTTTTTGGAAAATGAAGATTCTATTCCACATTTTTCTCCTATTCTATCAGGGTCCATCTACTGTGGCCCTGATTAGAACAGTTGGTAGTAGTAACTAGACACTGTCTAGTTCTTCAGGATCCAAGGTAGATGAGGCAATGGTTCATGTAGACGATTTGTCCCGTGGATTTGTTTCTTCTTCATTACCTTCTTTCTCTTTTGCCCTGGACAAGTTAGAGACCAATAGTTGTATCTCAGATGGCCATTCACAAGTTTTAGGATCCCATATACTACCTACCAAACTAGGATGTCGAACATAACTTTAGGAACTATTTTATGTCAATTGGCTGGTATGTCACAAGAGGCTACGGTTCGAATCCTCAAACTCAGAAATACAATCCCATAAGGTGTTTGGTTATTACTGTGCCTCCTACATGCTTTATTACATATATATGGATACATATACAGACTTTACAACAATAATGTGTGCATACAATCACGTTGTTGTTGTTAAGTGCATCAAGTAGGTTCCAACTAACAGTGACCCTGTATAGGATTTCTGAGGAGAGGTTGATGGGCTTGAATTGCCAAGCTTTTGGTTAGCAATCAAGTGCTTACCCTACAGTGTCACACCAAGACTCTTCACAGTCACATAGATACATATATATGTACATATACACACTTTAAAAGGTCTTGTGCAGCAGATTTGCCTAATGCAATACATCGTTTGATTTCTTGACTGCTGCTTCCATAAGTGTTGATAGTTGATTCAAGAAGAATGAAGTCCTTGACAACTTCAGTATTTTCTCTGTTGATAAGAATGCTGTTTATTGGTCCAGTGGTGAGGATTTTTTTTTTTTTTTTACATTGAGATGCAATCCATACTGAAGGCTTTGATCTTCATCAGTAAATATTTTAAGTCCTCTTCATTCTCAGCAAGCAAGATTGTATCATCTGCATATCACAGGCTGTTAATGAGTCTTCCTCCAATCCTGATGCCACGTTTTTCTTCATAGAACCCAGCTTCTCAGATTATTTGCTCAGCATACAGGTTGAATAAGTATGGTGAAAGAATACAAACTTGTCGCACACCTTTTTTAATTTTAAACCATCCAGTGTTCCCATGTTCTGCTTGAACAACTGCCTCTTGGTCCAGGTACAGATCTGACCCAAGCCATGGTATTTTCAATAACTTCATATGCATGTGAGAGTTGGACAGTAAACAAGGAAGACTGCAGAAGAATTGATGTCTTTGAGTTATGGTGTTGGAAGAGAATATTGAAAGTGCCATGGGCTGCCAATAGAACCAATAGATCTGTGTTGGAAGAAGTGCAGCCAGAGTGCTCCTTGGAGCCAAACTCCATCTCTCCTACTTCGGACATATTGTCAAGAGGGAGCAGTCGCTGAAGAAGGATATCATGTTTGGTAAGGTGGAGGGTCAGAGAAAAAGGGGAAGACCCCCAGTGAAATGGATTGGCCAAGTGGCAGCATCAATGGGCTCAAGCATGGCAACAATAGTGAGGTTGGCCCAGGATCGGCCAGTGTTTTGTTCTGCTGTGCACTGACTCAATGGCACCTAACAACAACAATAACAAACCTATATATACACACATAGTCCAAGTGTGGTGCTATAGGATAAGCACTGACCTGCAAGGTTGGTTTGAACTGGTCGGTGGGTCAAACCACCAGCTGCTCCTCAGAAATCCTGACTATGAATCAGAACCGACTTGACAACATATAACAATAATATACATATCTATATACCTATAAAGGGGTCCTAGTGGCATGGTGGAGTTCTGGTGTGGCACTGCAGATGAATGTGCTGTATATTGCAAGGAACCACAAGGTCAGCAGTTCAAACTCACTAGCCGCTCCTTGGAAACCCAATACAGGGTTGCTATGAGTAGGAACCAGCTCGACTGCACTTAACAACGACACCAATAAGTGGTATTGTGGGTTAAACGCCGGGCTGCTAATAGCAAAGTTTGTGCTTCAAATCCCCCAGTTGCTCTGCAAAAGACAGATAAGGTTGTCTGCTCTGGTAAAGATTTACAGTTTCAGTAGATAAGGCGGTTCTATGCTCTCCTTTAGGGTCGCAATATGTGGGAATACACCTGTGGCAGTGGGTTTAATATAGTTTAGTTTGGGGGTGGTGGTTTATACACATATGGGGTAGTTCTCATATAGTACTGAATAAACCAAAAGTTTGGTTTGAACCTCCAGGTCGATTGGTTCAAACTCACTATCTGTTCCTAGGAAACCCTGTGTAGGGTCACTATGAGTTGGAACCGACTCAACAATACTTAATTAACATCATATACATATGGAGTTCTGGTGTGGCACAGTGGAATAAGAAGTTGACTGCTAACTGCAAGGTCAGTAGTTCATACACACCACCCACTCCTTGAAAACTCTATACAGGGTCGCTATGGGTTAGAACCAACTTGGTGACACTTACTGACAACAGCAGTAGTACACATATATGTCTACATGCATACATATATATATTTTTTTGGTTGCTTATGCTCTTGTTTCAAAATTATATACTCCATAGCAATTACCAACAGATTCTTTTTCTCTGTACTTTTTAGTGAGATCGTTTACCTTTATTAAGCTGTGTAGCTTCACCTTCATTCAGACCTTTTCTATCACCAAACATAACAAGTATCTAGATATCTAGAGCATGAGTCCCCTCTCCCTCTCCTCCACCATCCCTGGTAACCACTAAAGAACATTTGTTTCTGCATGTGTACTTGTTGATGTCATTTCATAGAAGTGAGAATAGGCAATATTTGCTTTCTTATGATTGACTTCTTTCACTCAACATCTTGCCATCCAGATTTACCCATGTTCCAAGATGTTTTGGGAACTCAGTTTTCTTTATTGTTAAGTAATAGTCTATTGTATGAGTGTGTCATATTTATTTACTCATTCATTCATTGATGGAGCACTTAGGTTATTTACATTTTTTTGCTATTGTAAATAGTACTGCTATGAACATAGACATACATATATTTGTTGAACTGAATTTCTGATTCACCCTGCTTCTTCATAGTAAAAGGCAGGCAAAACTTTTTTTTATCTTCTATTCATTCAGTCTTAAATTGTAATGTTCAAAAGAATCACAGAATGGAGCTCATTAGAGGTCCTCTTTCAGGCACCTCTCTCCAAAGATTCCGATGTATTGGGCTTCAGGTACAGCCTAGGGATATGCTTCTTCATAAACATGTGGTGGTTCTTAGCTACGTGGTCTGAATATTGAGCTAAACAACATAGTCAATGGCAACTGGGAGTATTCTAAACAACGCCTCTGTGTGATGGGCAATGATATTTGTTAAGCAGGTGTTATTTTTCAATCAGGGACTCCTAATCTAATCTAACAGGACAGGACTATATTTGCCAGCATATGAAGGTCTATCTACCATCATTTGGAGGATCATGAAGAACATTTTGGTCATCAATACTAATGCAAACATGGCTCTGACGTTGTGTGGTAGAGTTCATATATAAGGTTTTATCTAAATAACCCAGGATCTATTAATTTTGTTAATATTGTCATCAAAATTATCCCTCTCCCCTAAAAAAAAAAATTCCTGTAGAGAACTCCTGATCATCAGAAAAAGCAGGAAGAAACCTGTTTAGCTTCTGAACTTATTTACTGTTTTTTCATGGTTCTCCTAATAATACCAGGTAAGATATTGTATGTTTGGGAAACACTCAGGTAGAATCCAGATAGACAAAGCATAATTAAATGCTAAGATATTATCTAGAAGGACAGAGGTTGATTATTTTTGGATAA